ACCCATTTCACCACTTTGAAGTTATAGACTACGCTATACCCTTCCAGATACTGCACAATTAGAGGCCAATTATTCAAACCAAAATTGCCCTTACATCGGAGCTTAATGAACTTCAGAATAGTGTTATTAATTTCCCATATCACCTTTCCAACCGAATAATATCCACCATTTAATATAGTATTTCTCCTCTTCCACAAAAACCACATTATAACTATAGGAATAGCCTGATAAACTAGTTTTATCCTATAGTTACCATCAGTAGACCACCATTTTCTCACCATCTGTTTTACATTCAACATGACCCCAATTATTCCAACCGCTCTAGAGTAATACGACCATATTCTGGTTGCGATCTCTCCTCTCAAGAACAAATGATTAATAGACTCATTCTCAGGAATGTTACAACACCTGCAATTCTGAGAGATATTAGGATTCCAAGCATGAATGACAGTAGCCACAGGTACTTTTCCTCGCCAAATCCTCCAGGCTAGAAATGAGAACTTGAAAGGTAAACCTTTCACCCATAAAGATTTGAAATCTTCATTGACATTCTCCTTTTTCCTTAGCACTTCCCAAACACTCTTAACACTGAAAAATCCAGTACTAGATTTGGTCCACCAAGGTTTGTCCGCTAAATCTTCCAACTGTAGAAACCTCATATTATGTGTGATATTATCCACTACATATTCAGGAACAGCATCGTGAAGAGCATCAAAATCCCAGCTCTCCTCATTAAAAAGGTCCCCTATATCTCTCATGGGGTGACAGGTTGGGGTGCCTAACTGATGTAAGTGCAAAGGCCCAAGATTGGACCAATTATCATACCAAATGGAAGAAGTTCCACCCCTAGGTTCCCACCACAAATGTTGTTCAATAACATCTCTATTTTCAAGCATATGTTTCCAGATTTGAGAACCTCCTTTCCATTGCACAAGAGAAGGAATTTGTTTCTTGCAATATTGTTCCAAAAGAAGTTGGACCACAAATAAACTTGTCCTTATTTTTGTCATTTTTTTTAAATTATGAAAAATCCATTAGATTACTTAATATGGCTAAAAATGGCTTTATTTTCACACAAAACTTTAGCTTATTTGATCCAATTTAGTTTCTGAATATAACTATATGTAGTACCATATGAAATTTCATTTATGAAGTAATTTAGTTAAATTGTAGTAATTACTTTTGGTTTCACATTGATATAATTTCATTTGTATTGATGAATAAAATGTAAATATCATTACATTGACTAACTAATCACAGGTTAATTAAACCCAAAGTTGCATGCATAATATATGAAATGTACATAATCTCTAAAGTAGTAAATCAATATATGTTTCAAATCACAACATAATAATATAGTTTTTTGATTTGTGATATTATAGTTTTTATGTCCTCACCTAGCATTTATAATTTAAGTTATATATTATGATACATTAAGTTAGCTTGTTTAAAAGTTGCTCATAATATGCTTATATGACACCTTAAATTGATGAGAAAACTCACCACATTTTAACTATTTTATTTCATAAGTGCAACTCCACAAATTATTGCATAACTATGGTTAAAACTTAAAACTTAAGTTGGATCAAATATGCCCTTAATATATATATATATATATATAGAGGTCCAAATATACTCTAATTAGTCTTATTTGCTAATGTGTTCAATGTTTAGGCCAAGATGAGTGAGTTGTACCCTTGCCATTTTTCTAGCACTGCCTTAATGTCCATTATGGGAGCACTTCAAGCTGGAGTTTATGCCATTTCTATTGAAAGAGATTGAACCCAATGGAAATTAGGATGGAACCTTAGGCTGTTTGCAGTACTTTATGCGGTATGTTATGTTATATTATATGTTTTCTATAATAACATCTCGCTATAGTGGCCAAAAAATATTCAGACAAACGATGATGTTATAGAAATGTTTGACTTTATATAAATGCCTTTTTTTTGTAGGGGTTAGTGGCTTCTGGATTAGCAATCATTTTCTTGATATTTTGTGTAAGAATGAGAGGTCCATTGTTCGTGTCTATTTTCAACCCTTTAATGTTTGTATGTGTTGCCATTGCCGGTTCTTTATTTCTCAATGAGAAATTACACTTGGGAAGGTATTCTTTTAATTTGCACTAATTACATATTGTATCTTCATTTTTTCATTTTTTTTTCTCCTGTATGTAGGGTAACAATTTAATGTTTAGGTACTCCATTAGCAAAACTCATATTTAATAAATAAACTACAATTTTTAAAAATCAAAGTTACCACTATAATAGTGTCAAAATTGTTAAAATGATTATTGTCTAAAATAAAACTGAAAAGATTAGGATTTGAGAGAAGGGCAAGAAAAAGATCGTGTCAGACCCTTTTCCCTTTATAAAAATAGTTTGACAATATTATTATAGTTTATCCCTTTTTTATTGTATAGAAACAATGTTTGTTTATGATAATCAAACTATAAAAGAGAAAAGTCGTAATTGTTCTTACAAAATGATACACGTTGGGCCCGTGCATAGCACGTGCATTTTATATATATAATATTTGTTTATGGTAATCAAACTAAATCATTGTTGTATACTTTTAGCGACACACATTTAGTGACAACTAATTGACGAATTATTTTTCGTCTCAAACGATTTTTAATGACGAAATATGATTTATAAATGACGAAATTATTTGTCCTTGATAATCGAATTTGTTGTAGTGCTAAGTCGATTTTAGTTGCCCGATATCCATCGAATTACTTAATTTTACTTGCTTTGCTATTTCTAGTAATTTTTAGTATTTTGTTTATGAATATAACTTTATTTATATGTGTTGGAATATTAGTGTGTTAGGAGGAGTAATAATATTATGTGGATTATACATGGTGTTGTGGGGGAAGAAACAAGAAATTACAAGGACTTCCAAATTGACACCTTCAATAAACTGTGAAGAATCTGACCAAGAAGATCCTATTGTTCCTAGCAATGTCATTGGAATAGCTCCAAATTTCCATCCTATGAATGAAATGGAACAATTATCAAGCCAACCAAGTTCAAAAGGACAAGGAATCTATTGATCTAGATTCAAAGGTCTAGAAGTACTAACCTTATTGATGACGAGAATTTAGTTTTAGTTATATACATTATCAGTATAACTAATATGATTGTTGCACCTTAATTAAAGACTTGGCATTATACTCCTTATTTATTTTATTTGCTTTGCTTACTTTTCGTGTTGTTTGATTCGGATTTAGTTCAGCTCGAATGAATTTTGCTCTATTAGATTATAATGCTTGTTTGGATTGTTGACATGTGTCATTTTTTTAGTCCAAAGGGTAAGATTTATTTTCTGTTTGTTTATCTATCTATAGTCGGGAAAAGGCACAAATTTTCCCTTAAACTTGTTCCGAAAAGTAAGTTACATGCTTAAACTATTATGATGACCTATTACACACATTTACTACTTAAAAGTGAATTTATTTACCCCCTAAAACTGATGTGGCAAAATAATTTAAAAAAAATTAAAATAGGCATGTCAGATTTATTAAAGTAGAACAAAAAAATCAAAGTTCATTTAAACCCCACCCCACTCTTCACATCTCTTCTTCTTCACAACCCACCCTCTTCTTCTTCTTCTTCAATCCCACCCTCTTGGGGAATTACATTTTTCTCCTCTTGCTTTTAAGCAAAAAAATTTCCTTCTTCCTTCTTCGACTTCTTCTCAGCTTGCTTAGCAAATTAATTATCATCAATCTAAGTTTTGTGGGTTTTGATTTGTGTTTGTTAACAAAAGATTTCTTATTGTCATCGGTGGGATTAAATTTTGGGGGTTTCTTAGCTGCTGCAGCTATGATGGGCTTTTTTGAGAGAAACGGGAGAATTTTCCACTCCTTAAATCAGCTTCATGTTTCGATTAGCGTTCTTGGCAGCCATTGTTAAAATTTTCATCTTATTGTAATTTTGCTATGAAGAAAATATAATTATTAGCGAATTTTAATAATTAATTGGAGATTAATTAGTGTAAAATATAGTTAACAAACGAAAAGTTAATTAAAAATAAAAAGGAATATAATTTTTTTTAAATTTCTGACATGGCGCTGATGTGGCAGCGAGTGTAATACACCACATATTGTGAGAGTGGTATTACACGTCTCAGAGGGTAAATAAATTTACTTTTAAATTGTAAAGGTGTGTAATAGATCGTCATAATAGTTTAAGCTGGTAACTGACTTTTCGGGACAAATTCAGAGGGTAATCTATGCCTTTTCCTATCTATAGTCAGTGAACATTGCCTACCAGTTTGGCATTGTTTAGTGGTTGTTATTGGGTTATGGGTGATAGTGGTTTTTGATGATTCATTCTGATCCCTCTATCCTTTTTAATACAAATATTTAAAAGCAAATTTATTAATGTTAAAACAAGGGTAATATCGTTATTTCAGCTTTTAAAATATTGGGCTCATGCTAAGTGCCAATCAAACATTATATATATATATATATATATATATATTTATATGCCATCAAAGGGACGACCAAGGGTAGAATTGTCTTTTCCAAATTGTCTAGAAACATCCTTTCTTCTTCAAAAACATAGAACTAGAAACATCGGCAATTCTCCAAAGCCGAAACAGAGGAGCCCTTCAATTTTCCATCTCTAGCTTTCAAAGAATACTTAGGAAGGACCTCTTTCAACGTCATAGTTGTCGGTGAAAACACAACTGTGAGATTAGTTACTACGTGGTCGTCCAACTCCGACGTTTGGACACACAAGGATGATTCAATACTGCAACCCTTCCAATATCGACGTCTACTACGTGTTATTTCTAACGCATTAATGATTAAACCTATGTAATGTCTCATTGATGTCTAAATCACAAGAAGCTTATTGTGAGCAGTAGGCATGTATTTGTGAATTTGATGTTTTTCAAAGTAAAACACTTTTTATTGAAGAGAAGAAGGGCAAAGGCCCTCATTGGCATGAGTTAGAGACATTTACAAAATTAATATTTCGAATGATATGGTTATGGCTAAAGTAGAATTAAGGCTGGCTGGTGGATCTTTGATCTCTGCCTTATTCGTGGCGAAATTGAGAATGAAAGGATCATGTTATCGTCAATGGCTTGATACATATCCAGAGTAAACTTAAAAATTTCTGAACAACTTGAATCACATCCTTTTTGTTATTTATTTTGGTAAGTTGGTCGAGATGGAAGGTACCTGAAGGCTAATATTTGTAATTTCTATGTTCTACCTATTGGCTTAGAATTGTATCTATGTATCACAAAATCATTAACTGATATAAGAACATGATAAAAAGCTAAGTTGCTCGGACTCTCCAAAAATGTTGCCATACCCGTGTTGGATACTTGAAAAATACCGTTGACATTTTTGAAGAGTCCAAGCAATATAGATAAAAGGAGGATACTAACAGAGAGGATAAAACTTGCCTCTTTGACCATATTAATGTCGAAGGAAGCTTGGGATCTTGTCATCTGACCTTACCGAGGAAAAATAATCACATGTATGAGATTTACTTGAAGTATTTTAGATTTGTAAGAAAATATGTTTTTCTTAATTTCTATTGTTGCTTGTGTAGAATTGTTACTTGTAGGAAATACCTAGAATCTGTAGTAAATGAATTATGTTTCTATTTCAGAAAAAATATTCTTTCAAGTTTCAATGATTTTGGTGAGTGGTTTTAGCCCTATATAGTCATCAAGGACAGTTTTAATTTCAAAAAAGTTTGAAAGCTTGTATAGCGAATGTTTTACATCTTTGTATTGTTTACTTTGTACTTTAAACTCAAAAGAAATTCAAAGTTCTTCCTGTAGTCTGCAAGATATAGTAGGGCATAAATCTTTTGCTTTCAACCTAAGTTGCTTGGATTTGGGTGGGGGTGTTCGAAACCGATGTGTATTTAGAGGTCGGATTCTTCTTGATCTTAATTTCACGATATGGGGGTATAGATCCAAGTACTGATATGTAACATCCGGCAATTTGAAATAGCTAAGAAGAGGCTTAGAATTTGAAAATTTTCATTTTTGGAAAGGATTTGAAAATCTGGAAAATTTGGCTAAGTATGGAAATCAGTGATTTTTGGCCAACTTTGAGTAGTCATAACTTCTAGCTCAGAATGAGTTAGGAGTAGTTCCAGTTATGGTTGTGAAGCTTGCGGAATGATCTCTCCAACGCCGCTGAGTTTGCTCAATTCCGAGTTCGTATGAGCGAGTTATGGCCTTTGAAAGTTGGGCAGTTGACAAGGAAATCCGTCCGGGAATCATTAAGGGCATTTTGGTCTTTTCCCTAGCTATTTCTTTTGAGGATGTATGGTTGTATAGGGCTGATCTTTGGATCATTTTGTTCCATTTTTAAGAGAGTGAAGGCTAGGGCTTGAGAGTGAAGAAGAGAAGAAGAAGAGAAGAAGAGGAGAAGAAGAAGAGGAAAATCGAGGATATCAACAAGTTTCCGACAAGATCATCGTGGATTTTCGTCGGGGGTGATCCCTACCAAGGTATGTGAGCTTTTAGTGTTGGGTGATCCTTTCCCCCACACACCTAGCCCTTTTATTTATTGAGGAAGGATTGGATTATTAGTTGTTGAAGTTGATAGTTGTATTGTTTGGTTGGTATTTGAGTTGTAATCTATGGGTTGTTGAGGGATTTTCGTGCTTCCAAGTGTATGGGTTGAAACCTTGTTTTGAGAGGGTTTAGAGCTGGAGAAAGGAGGATCCCAAAAATAGTCAGTTTCTCAGAAGCGATCGAAGGACTCGAGGTACGGTCCGTAGATCGATCTACGGACCGTCGATCCCTTCCGTAGTTCCACACTTAGAATTTTTAAAAATCCAGGTACTAGAACCCTCACAGTATCATTCTACGGATCAACAGTACGGTCCGTAGATCAATCTACGGACCGTACTGTTG